ACAATTAAAAATTTAAAAACAATTGTTTTTTTTTTTTTTTTTTTTTTATATATAGTTGTATTTATTTAGAATAATATTTAATGAATAAATAAATAAATAGTCAATATAGAAAACACAACAAGTAAACAAAAAAAAGTTAATACAGTATTTAAAAATTGAAAGTTGGTTTAAAAAATTAAAAAGAATTAAAAAGTATTTCGCTTGTTAATGATCAATACCAACCTACTATTTAAATAAAGTTTAATTTATTTAAAATCAAATAAATAATCATAGTGATGAGTTGTTTGAATAATTTGACACCATTGCTTTAAAAAGAAAAAAAGATTTGACTATTTCTCATTTGATTTGATAGCTACGAAAATTTTGAAAAATTGGGAGAAAATAAGTTTGAAAACAAAAGATTAAACACTCTATTTTGAATTTTTACTTCAATCAATCCACTTTATTAAAAAAAAAAAAAAACATTTTCAGTATTTTTCGTATCGATCAAGAATGTTGTTTGTTTTTATTTTTATTATTATCAAATTCAACAATACTTATCGGAGTATAAGATTAAAATACGCATTTTTTTTAAGATAATAATTGATATTTTATTTAATAAATTAATTTTCGCAGCTTCAATTATAAACACGAAATATTTAATTTTCGCAGCTTAAATTAATTTTCTTTCCATTCTTTTTATAACTTCTTACCTTTCTTTCATTTTATTTCGTTTTCTTTGAATTAAATTACTCAATTTAAGCATAGTTCAGATATATAAGTTCATACAAGATGTCTCGAGTGAATTAGAATAATAATTTTAATATAAGAAAATATATGTAAATAAATAAAGCATGCCAATGATTTAAATGCCTGTAGGAGTGGTAGGTAAAGAATTTAACACTACTTAAATGACATAGTCAACCCAATAAATATCTTTTGAAATTGTTCTTATTTAAGTATTTTCTTTAATTCTTTTATTTTAAACTATATATATAAATATTTTATTGAGAGATTGAAGAGCTTAGTTGGGCCTGGTCCATTACTTGAGCCCATTTGTTCTTCATCAGATTAAAAAGAATTTGGAATATTCTTTAATATTATTACTCTTAATTGTTTCTAAAAATATGATTGAATGAATACAATAACTTAAAATTATTATAAACTATTTAAAATTTTTATTTTATATATATCATTTTGCAGCATTAAAATCAAATAAATTAAATTTTATTTACTAAATCTGTAATTAGAAACAAAGAAAAAAAAAGGAAAATGGTAATTATTATTAGTTGATTTGAAATATATATATAAAAATAATAATAGAGTGAGAAGGACAATAATAATAATAATGAATTTGTTATTATTAGAAAGGAAGGAGAGGAAACATAGAGGAGACAACCCACGTGCCAAGTTGACCCACCCCTCTTCACCAGTAGGCGACTGTGTCTCTGCAACTACCATCATCCCTTTTACATTATATTTTAATCTATTGTCACACTTTTATTTACGTTTATCTTCAACAGACATGTTTAAATATCTTGAAATGAAAGTTTAAATAGAACATTATTTACTAGCGATAAATTTGAACTGTTACAGTATTGATCAGAAGGGCGTGAGGGAGGGAGGGAAGCATGTGGTATCCTCGTCACTCTAGACTGTAAATGTGGAACAGAGTGAGCCACAAGTGTATAAATTAAAACCAACCTTATAAAAGATGTATGGGTGTTTTTGTTTGTCTTATGCTATGCTTCAGACATTGCATTGCTGTAATATTTAGACACCTACTGACAATAAATAATAAATAATAAATAATAATCAGACCACATTTATATGCTTTTGTCATTAATAAAATGATAATTAATCGTGTTTTAAAAAATAATTATTTTTTATTTTTATTTTTGTGGACTTTAATGTCATTTTCCTTTTAACTTTGATGAAACTGAATCTTTGTTGCTGTTGTTGTGTATTGGCATCCACTCCCCTTTGTACTCAAGCTGTCGTCTACGTGTATCAATTATATATATATATATATACATATATATAACGTTACAAATATTGATAATAAAATATTTATAAGCTTTATTGTGATGGTTAGTTTTGATATTTAAATTTAAATGAATAGCAACAAATATTGATGTAATACAATTGGATTTAGGTGGCCTACACGTTATGATATGTATGTACCTAATAGCGCTCTAATCACATGAAATCATTTAAACTTATATAGGTCGGGTGGGGTGGGTCAATGTAATAGCAATGTCCTATTTGTTAGGAGTGATGGCCTAATTTTGTTTCGGTAACATCCAAAACCCACCACTAGCACCACCAGTAGATATTTTCCTATTTGAGTTTCTCTCTCGCGCTTCCTCTTAAAGTTTTCATAACGCGTCTATTACGGAGAAGTTTCTACACCCTTCTAAGGTATGCTTCATTCCCCTCTTGAACCGATGTGAGATCTTATAATCCACCTTCTTGGGTACCCAACATCCTCGCTAGCACACTACCTGATGTGAGATCTTATAATCCACTTCCTTGGGTACCCAACGTCCTCGCTAGCACACTGCCTGATGTAAGATCTCACAATCCACCTCTTTGGGTACCCAACGTCCTCGCTAGCACACTGCCCAATGTGAGATCTTACAATCCACCTCCTTAGGTACCCAACGTCCGATGTAAGATCTCACAATCCACCTTCTTGGGTACCCAACGTCCTCGCTAGCACACTGCTCGATGTGAGATCTCACAATCCACCTCCTTGGGTACCCAACGTCCTCGCTAGCACTCTGTCCGATGTAAGATCTCACAATCCACCTCCTTGGGTACCTAACGTCCTTGCTAGCACACTGTCCGATGTAAGATCTCACAATCCACCTCCTTGGGAACCCAACGTCCTTGCTAGCACTTTGCCCGATGTAAGAACTCACAATCCACCTCCTTTGGTACCCAACATCCTCGCTAACACATTGTCCAGTGTCGACTCTGATATTATTTATAACAGCCCAATCCCACTGATAGTATATATTATCCGCTTTCACTTGTTCTTTTTGAATTTTCTAGTGATTTTCGAAATGCATTTATTAGGGAGAGAAAGAGAGAGAGAATGGAATGTATATGAATGGAAAGTAAAAAGGAGATGTGGGATGCAATATGTTAATTGGGTAGGGCAGCCAATGCCGTGGCCATATTAGACACAAATGTCAGAGAGGGTTTGGCAGTATAAGGGATGATGCCCTTTGCTAGGGTACCCTAAAACATCCACTTTCATCGCCCTTTTCCATAATTATTAAATTACAACACATTAATTCCTATTTATTTTTTCATTATACATTTGGTTTGCCCAAATATACATGTATTGTTTTCTATCCAAAATTTTTATGTCAATAATATGGATAAAATGTCGAAATATTTGGTAAAATATTAGTGTATAGTTTGAAAGAAAATAATAATATAATACATAGTTTTGAAATTGATATATTAATTCAATAAGTGCCCCTACACTACTTAGATGATGGTGTGTGGGGCTACCCTTAACACTACACTACTTTTCTTTTCAACGCCATCACCATCTCTTTATTTATTTATTTATTTATTTATTTATTTATTTATCTCTTAGGGCCCATACTCTCTTCATAGATTGTACACATTATTTCTTGAGTGGTCATTCCAAGAGTGAAAGAAAATTCAACATTTTTTTTTTCATTAAATATTTAAAAGAATATATAATATATAGTTTAAATGTTTATTTAATTTAATTTAATTTAGAGACTAAAAAATAATAAAAGGGATAAAGAATTATATTTTGTTTTTTTTTATTTATAAAAAATAGTGTTATATATAAGGTTGGTCTATAAATAAGAATTGGCATAATTCCATTAATCATCTCTCATCTACTTCTTTCTCTCTCTTCTGGGTCTGTTACCATTTCCGCCATGGGCTTCCCTGCAAGCTACACTGAGCTGCTTCTCCCGAAGCTCTTCATCCACGTACTCTCCTTACTCGGCTTCCTCAGGAAGCTCATCTCCCTCTTATTTTGCCTTCTAGGGCTCCAGGATTTTCTCGAACCGGACATTCCTTGGTCTAATCATTCTGATTCTTTTCCGACGGGACCATTGACGGACCTCGATCCTCTTTCCGCTGCTGTTCTCCGTGAGATTCTTCCTGTCGTCAGATTCTCTGAACTTCTGGATCCGCCGGAGAGCTGCGCTGTTTGTCTCTACGAGTTCGAGACCGACGACGAGATCCGCCGCCTCGCGAACTGTCGCCACATCTTCCACCGCGGATGCCTCGATCGGTGGATCGGTTATGGTCAGAGGACCTGCCCGCTGTGCCGGACGGTGTTCATTCCGCCCGATTTGCGGACTGGTGGTTGTAATTTTGACGATAGGGCTTGGGAGGATTCGGAACTCTTCGAAGCACTCCACACTGATTCTTCTTCATCCTCGACGCTTCTCAGCGCTGGTTTGTAGCTTCTGGAGATTTGATTTTCTTTTGTTGATTTTTCTGCTTTTCAATGGACATCGAAAAAAAAAAGAGAGAGAGAAAAAGAGGGAAAGAGATGGAGATGGTTGAGTTTGATGGAGGGGAAATCTTTGTTGTTTGTTCTTCTGTACATACAAAAAAAAAAAAAAAAAAAAAAAAAAAAAAAAAAAAAAAAAAAAAAAAAAAAAAAAA